ATTTTATTCACGTTAGTTAAATTATCAGCCCCACTGATTTTCAGAATCACGTGACGCTAAAACAAACACAATGTTCACAAAATATTAATAGTAGGAAAATACAAGTCAAAAGCTTTCTAAACATATATAGATTGTATGGTTTCTTGTAAAATTTATTCCGATTATAGGTGTTTACATTTTTCTATCCTGCTACCTTAACGAAGCAGTAACAAAATATTTGCAAAAAGCTTATCTTCCCACTGTACTGTATTCAGTAGTTCTGAGATTGTTAGGAAAGTTACACATAGCCAAATTTGTGAAGAACAACAAATTATTATTGGTTTGGTTATCCTAAAACAGCTCTCAACCTTGTATTTTAGATGTCATTATATGCATTGTACTAATATATATTCTGTGTTTAACTATAATGCAGATATAACTGCAGGCAATGTATTCTACCAAAATGAAGATGACAGTACATCTTTCATATTTCAACAATGGAAAATAACTGAAGAAGATGTGGAATTAAATGATACTACTATTGTAGAAGTCGAAGTGACCTTTGGCAATACAATTGAACGCAGCATTTGCATCTGTCCACCTGGTTATGAGGGCATACATTGTGAGAAAAGTAAGTCTAGATATATCACCTGCTGTGGAATATGAATATTGACTTGAAATATATTTTGATATATCTTGATATAAATATAATTATTTTTGTTTGTAACAGCTGTACAAGGAAATACCGGACATGTTGTATCTGCCATTACATATAATAATGGTGGAACATCTGCCCTGACCTGTGAGAATGGTGGAACATCTGCCACGACCTGTCAGAATGGTGGAACATCTGCCACGACCTGTGAGAATGGTGGAACTTCTGCCATGACCTGTGAGAATGGTGGAACTTCTGCCACGATCTGTGAGAATGGTGGAACATCTGCCACAACATGTGAGAATGGTGGAACATCTGCCATGACATGTGAGAATGGTGGAACATGTGCTGTGACTTGTAAGAATGGTGGAACATCTGTCACGACTTGTAAAAATGGTGGAACATCTGCCGTGACTTGTGAGAATGGTGGAACATCTGCCGTGACTTGTGAGAATGGTGGAACATC